CTAGGAGCTTAAGAAACATTTTCTGAATTTTCTACTTATTGCATTTAAAAAAAATTTTTTTTTTTTGTTACAGATGTTCCTCCTTTTTCCCCCATCGACACCCTCCTCCCCCTCCCTCCCCACCCTGTCCCCAGCTTTGTTGTCCATGTCCATTGGTCATGCATACATGCATATAAGTTCTGTGGTTCCCCCCGACCCCATCTTCTGGGGATTGTCAGTCTGTACCCTACTTTCACGTCTCTGGGACTACCCTGTTCTTAAGACTGTTATGTTCATTATATTCCACAAATAAGTGAGATCATATGACACTTGTCTTTCTCTGTTTGGCTTGTTGCATTTTAAGTAACATTTAGTAGTGTTTGCTTGTGTGAATACCTAGGGGGGTTTCGGGGTCTCAGTCTAGGTCCCCTCTCTTCCTTGTGTTAGTTTGGGTCCTCTCTAAAGCCAACCCTGAGACAAAGACTTGGAGATAGGAAGTATAAGGGGGATTTGAGCTCAAGAACCACAATTTGAGGGAGAAAGGGGACACAGAAGAGGGACAAAAGTCAGTGACTAATATGTTAATATACAGACTCCAATCCGGGCCAACTGGGGCTCAGCTCTGGTGGCGACACTCAGAATTATGAAGAATGTACTTGAGAAATGTCCCATGGAAAGGCAAGGAAATAGAGAAATTTTCCTCCAATTCTTGGCCCTCCCGGGTTTAGAGTCATCCTAGACGGCATTAAATCCTACACTTCCTGGGTGCTCTATGCACAGTCTAAGAAAGCTGCCCTGGCCCTAAAAAAGACCACTCGGTTGGGAAACAGAGAGTCAAGTGTAAGCCCTTGAGATAGCACATGAGAACGGGCATAAGCACGGGAACTGTCCGTCAGGGCTGCGTAGCCAGAGGGGGTCAGGGGCTGCACAGGCCTTGGTATCGCTGCCCCTGCCTCTAACTGGCCCGGAGGATGGTCTCATCTGCTGCCTTGGCTCCAGCCTGGCCTCCTTCCCCAGCAATCCTGCAGATCAGGGCACAGTGTCACCTTTTCTCTCCACACCTCTGAGGCAAACACTCATTCCTTTTGAGATTTTGTGGGGGGTTATTTGATGTATCTTTGTTTATTTTTAGTACTGATAGGTTAAAATAGGTCTTGGAGGCATGACAAGTTGCAATGAAAGCCTTCAAATTCTTCTCAAGATGATTTCCTTGCTGTTCCCCAGAGCCGATGAGCCAGGCTTGCTCTGCGGCGGGTCCTGTCATGCCCTGCGCTGGCTCACCTCTTCCTTCCCACCTGAGGCCAGCCCCTCCCAACCTCCTTGCCACCTTGACTCCAGGGGACAATGAGAAGTCCTGCCACACCCACTTCCACAAACTTTTCCTTACACCTCGCCCTGGAGGAGGGAAAGTGGAGGTAAATATGGGGAGTCCGGGAGGAAGATCCATCTGGATTCTGCAGGAAAGCCAGGAGGACATCGAGGGCCCTGCATCACAGTGGGAGGCCTCCGGAGGTCACCCTACCTGGAGTCTGGGAAGAAACAAGTGTCCCTATAGTCCAAGAATTCTCCTTTAAAAACTGGGCATCCCGCCCTGGCCGGTTTGGCTCAGCGGTTGGAGCATTGGCCTGCGGACCAGAGAGTCCCGGGTTCGGTTCCCGCTAGGGGCACGTACCAAAACAAAAAAACTGGGCATCCAAATTTTGCTTTACATGTCCAAATCAATTCATTCTACTTGGCCAGATGAAACGAAAGTTTCCTGTAAGACATCATGTTCGTCTTCCATAGCCTGAAGCTGATGAATAATGCATAACCAAAGGAGCTTGAATCGCTTAGGATAGTGCCACAGCCTTGAATGAGTAGCAGAAACTTCCTGCAGTTGCCACCTTATAGGGGGGGAAGCTGCCTTTCAAGATAAAGTCCCGAAGGTCATTTTCTATCTGACAAACTGTGTTGGTGAAGAAAAATAACAATAAAAACCACCAACAAAAGGAGATGGAGAAAAGTGGTCCCCTCATGACAACTTAGCTGTCAAACTGACTACAGCACCTCAGATCAAATTTCCGTTCCCAACAGCTGGAAAACAGTGATTTAGTAATAATGAGTTTATGGTCTATATTTTATTTTCCAGCTATGCATCAAAATTCACACTTCCCTAAATATAAAGTTTGTAGGTCACTATCCAATTATGAAATCTAACCTTTCAGTGACACTTCCGTGGCTAATTTTATGGACATAAAATATGAACCTTACAAGACAAAACACGCTCGTTAAAACACGTGTTGCTCCAACCTGAAGTGGAGAGAAACATTCAGTCTGGGGTAATTTATATTGCCTTTCCTGTTTTCACAGTGTCTTCTACAGTATTGCACACGGTGTGTTCTAGAGGAGCAGAAGTCATGAGTGTTTTATTAATGAGCATTTATTAAAGTCCACTTTACCTTATTAAATAAAAAATGTGTTTTAAAACCACTGGCCTACAGAGGTTTCAAAATGAAGCAGATGACTCACGCAACCCTTACAGCAGTCCCGGGAGGTAAGCTTTATCATCACCTCACTTCTTGAAAGAGGAAACAGCAGCAGACAGGTTAAGTCTGTGCTTGGGGTCACACCCTGAGTAAGCGCTCATGGACCCACACGCTCAAACCCCTCACAGAGCAGCCTCCTCCTCCAGGAGACAGGTGGGTGGACACAGCGTCTTCATGAAGATGTTTGCCATGGCTAATGCCTGTTGGCAACCAGCAAATGACTAAATTGTTCTACATTGTTGTTTTTTAATTCAGCTGTCTTAATTGGAGACTTTTTAGTACAACAAAGTGTGCTTTTAAAGGTACATTTTTAAACAATAGTTTTAAGGTAAAAAGAGTAAGTCCAGCAGGATTGGTAGGTTCAGTACATATCATTTTGATGGGTTAAAATTTTCTGCTAATACCCTGCTCAGCAGTTAGAGCATCAGCCTATGGTCCAGAGAGACCCGGGTTCGGTTCCCGCTAAGGGCACGTACCTCGGTTACAGTTTGTCCCAGGCCCTGGTTTGGTCGTGCAGGTGGCAACCACTCGATGCGTCCCTTTCACATTGATGTTTCTCTCTCTTTCTCTCTCTCTCTCTCCTCTCTCTCTATCTAAACAAAAAATGTATATTTTTGTTGGCTGTCTCCCAAACTGGAATATAAGTGCCATGAAGGGAGAAATCTTCATCTCTTTAGTCCCCTCATGTATCCCAAATGCCTAGAACAGTGCCTGGCGCATGGAAGGGACTCAATAAATATTTGTTGAAGAAATAGGATGGAATAGATAGGAGGCACTCCCTGGTCTGAAAAAGGAAATAAGAAGGTGCTTTCGTTTTCTACTGCTGTTTAACAAATTACCACAAACCTGCTGGCTTACAACAATACCCATGTATTGTCTCCCAGTCCTGTCGGTCAGGATTCTGGGCATGACATGACCAGGCTCTCTGCTCAAGTTGTCAGCTAGATGACTGGAAAGACCCATTTTCAAGTTCCCATATGTTGTTGGCAAAATCCAGCTCCTTGTGATTGTAGCGATGAGGTCCCTACCTTTTTGCTGGCTGTTGGCTACAGCCTCTCTCACTCAGCTTCTAGAACCCAGCTCCTAGGTCTGTGCCATCTCCACAGGCAGTTTACAGCTTGGCAGTCTTCCCGTTCAGGGTCAACAGGAAAATTTTTCATGCTTTGGATCTCTCCCTTCAGGTAGGGTCAGTCCCTTTTAAGAGCTCTCCTAATTAGAAGAGGTCCCCCAGGATAAACTCCCTTTTGCTCAACTGACTTGGAACCTTAAATCCATCTGCAAAATCCCTTCATCTTTGTCATATAATGCCAACTAGACACAGGCATGACATCCACCATGTATACAGTGGTGTCTACACTCAAAGGGCATGTACACTACAGGGCAGACATCCTGGGGCCATCTTAGCCTACCACAAAAGTTTAGGCCTGAAGTCAGGTTCCGTTGTGAACCAGCTGGTCAAACAAAGCCCAAAACTATGGCAGTCGGAGTTCACAGAGTTAGGATTTCCAGGAAAGAGAATGCTATGAAATGCCTTTGCCATCCCTATGTTACAGCAGCATTAATCACAACAGCCTAAAGGAAAACAACACAAGTGTTCCAGATAACCAACAAACAAAACGTGATATGTAACAGACTATGAGCCCAGCCCGTGTGGCTCAGTGGATTGAGTGTCGTCTCATGGACTGAGTGTCGTCTCATGGACTGAGAGGTCCCAGTTCCATTCCCAGTCAGGGCACAAGCCCGGGATGCGGGCTCGATCTCCAGTAGAGGGCATGCGGGAGGCAGCCAATTGATGTGTGTCTCTCACATCAATGTTTCTCTCTCTCCCTCCTTCCTTTCCGTCTCTGAAAATTCAATTAGAAAAAGAAAGTTTAACAGACCATGATTCAGCCTTAAAAAGAAATTCTGATACATGTTTCAACATGGATGAGCCCTGAAGATATTTTATGCTAAGTGAAATAAGCCAGTCACAAAAGACAAACACAATATGATTCCACTTATATGAGTTACCTAGAGGAGTCAAATACACAGAGACAAGAAGTAGAATGGTGGTTTCCAGAGTCTGGGGGAAGAGGGAAATGGGGAGTTAGTGTTTAATGGGTAGAGTGTTAGTTTTGCAAGATGAATAGAGTTCCAGAGACCAGTTGTACAACAGCATGAATGTGCTTACCACTACTGAACTGTACATTTAAAAATGGCTCAGATGGCAAATTGTATATCATATATACTTTACCACAATTAAAAATAACAATAACAATATATTTGCCAGTAAAACTACTGACAACTATTTTTAACTCATTTAACAGGCAGGTGTAAGTGTCTGCATTGTGACAGGCACTGTGCTGAGTGTGGAGGGATGCAAATATTAATGTAACAGGCTTCACTGTTACATTCACTGACGTTTGTGTTTTTAAATAATTATTATTATATCAAAATCACCACAGAAACAACGGTCCAAATGAATTTTCCTCCATTCCAGTTGGAAGTATAACTTACCTGCCCTAGATCCAAGGTGACATTGACTTGGTTGTACCGTGTGCCTGAGGAGAGAGGAGGGCTTTGCCACCAACGTTCAGATCCATCAATTGCATTGGTGACAGGATGTGCTTTCCTGGGGTCCTCAGAATTGCAATAGTCACAGAATTGTCCCTGGGGGGAAAAAAAGTTATTTTTTGTATTATGTTATTACGTTCAAGTAATTTTTGTCTTACCAATTCCGTAAGAAAGTTAACCAAATCCAAGACGGCTTTATATAGCTTAGAGATGTCAGCTGTTGAAATTAATCATAATGTATTCTAAAGAGAGTACTAAAGCTTTCTTTTTTTTTTAATTTAATCTTAAACCATACCACTTGTTTATACCTCTGTTGTGTTTCTCAGATATAGGTTCTTTTTAGCTTCCATCTTTTACAGCTTTGTGCTTCTCGTCCTGTATGAGACGTTAAGAAGAGCTGTTGTGCTTCAGATGCAAAGGTTTTTTCCTACAGCAAATCCTTTTTACTGTTTATATCCCACTTAGTGTAAGTTCTGAGTCAGGCACTGGGATACAGCAGTTCCCCCCTGATCTGTGGGGGATACATTCCAGGACCTCCAGTGGATGCTTGAAACCACACAGAGTACTGAACTCTACTGTTTCCTTCTGTACATACCTATGATAATGTTTAATTTATAAATTAGGCACAGTAAAGACTAACAATATTAATTAATAAGAAAATAGAGCAATTGTAACAATACACTGTAAGGAAATAGTGTGAATGTGGTCACTTGTTGCAAGGGATCCTTTATGAAGTCTGTATAGGGTCAATGTTTTCTGACGCAAAATGTTGCCGTCAATCAGAACACCTTTCTGTTCATGTCTTCCACAGACAGATGTAATACCTGTCCAGCTTAACTAAGGGCTTAGCACGCACTGTGGCCATAATATTTGCCGTCTGAGGTGCGAAACAAAACAGGAACAAATTTCTTTTCCCTTCCTCACAGTTTCACAGATAGAAGATATGTTCTGACCACAGAGCTCAGCAATCTCACCATACAAAATTTTTCTTTTCTTAAGTCAAGAACTTCTACCTTTTCACTTAGAGAAAGAACTTTCCAGCTTCTCTCTGGCATATCCAAATTGCCAGCATCATGATTCTTGCACTTTGGGGGCCATTATTAAGTAAAATAAGGGTTACTTGAAAACTGTGGTACCGAAACAGGTAATCTGATAACCACAGTGGCAGCTGATAACTAGCTAGCAGGTGGGAAGCATCCACAGCGAGGAGACACTGGACAAAGGAAGGGATGATTCTTGCCCTGGTCAAAATGACACGAGATTCCATCGTGCTACTCAGAATGGCATGCGATTTAAAACATATGAATTGTTTATTTCTGGACCTTTCCATTTAATATTTTCAGACCTCAGTTGACTGCAGGTAACTGAAAGCGAAACTGCAGATAAGGGGGTACTACTGTATACAAGTAACCATAAGGGAAGCAGGGTACAGCAAAAGTACTGGCTGCTGGGTCAAAGCCAGTAGATGTTCCAGGGGCTCGGGAAAGGCAGGTGGAGGAGGTGGAATTTAAGCTGCTATAAGGATACGCAGGACTTCGAGTGGCAGTGAGCAGCCAAGAGGGAAGGTGTTCCCGGTGGAGGAACCAACATGAGCAAAGGCAAAGAGGCCAGCTGATCCAGTTTAATCACAGCATATGCAATAAAAGACAAGGCTCGATGGGCAAATGGGGGAGAGGTGATGGGCTCTGGATACCAGAGTGAGATGTTGGTAGTTAATTCAGTTCCTAAATGGGAATCCATTTTCACGTGGGGTGATTATCGGTTTGATAGTATCATCTCTAACTTCTTACTGAATTACTCTTCTTTGGTAGGTAGACTCTCTTGGTTCTGTTTGTTTGTTATTTGTTCACTGTAATGCAGAATTTTACAGCCATTATAATCTAAAAACCTAAACATAGGCCTTTCTTATACATTGAGTTTATTTAAACTGGGTCAAAGAATCATGCTTGCCCAATGATGGACTTCACAGACTGAACTACTCTGTTTTCCAATCAAATTACCTTAGGGCATAACTACCATATGGGAGAGGGGAAAGGAAGCAAATTTATACACACAGCCTTCCCTGAGAGCATTACAGTTTCCAAGTTAGCCTCAACACTGACATATGGAAGGTTCACAGATATAATAAATACATAAGTTAAAAATGACTACCTAGTAGCAAACTTTTCCCAAGTAATAAAAATGAGCAAAACCATTTGTTTATTTCTCTACACGTCATCAGGAAAAAAACCTTGACAGCAAATCTATAAGAAATAACATCACCCTAGCCAATGTGGCTCAATTGGTTGGGCATCATCCCCTTTACCAAAAGTTTGCTGGTTTGATTCCTAGTCAGGGCATATGCCCTGGTTGTGGGCTCAATCCCTGGTTGGGGGCATACGGGAGGCAGCCGATCCATGCTGTTCTCTCACATCAATGTTTCTCTTTTTCTCTCCCTCTCTCTCTAAAAAAGTCAATTAAAATATTTTTTAAAGAAATAACTTATCAAACCAATAATTCCAGAGTTAATGTGTTTTTTTTTAGATTTACTGTGTATATTAGCCAAGTTTAAGTGATACTTTTTTTGCCATATAAAATAAATTCTAACAAAGATTCCACCAGCTTATGTTAAACAATAACAAGCAAAAGTATAATTTATACTTTTTCCTTGAAAAAATTATATATTTAATAACTGATTTAAAAATTAATATTAGAAACTCTGGCTTTTTTAAGTTATTCTTAAATGGACAGGGTGGGAATTTTTATTCAAAAAATTATTTAAATATTCCTTCTCTTTTTTTCATTTATTTTCTTCTTCAAGTTTCAGTGATTTTCACCCTACATCTCAAATGTCACATTTACTTTGAATCAACTTATGTGAAGACTCATAAAAAATTCAGTAGTACCCTGAAGGAAAAAAAAATCAGAATAATGACTTTTTAAAATGTTAAAACTCTATTCATCTGGAGATCTCCATGGAGATTTAAATCTATGTGGAAATGCTGCATGGATGGGTAGACTTGGGGTTGAAGAACCTTCTTAGGGAGGCTAACACTAAGACCAATCTCTGAAAGTCGGGTCTTGGCACTAAGAAGCAGGACTTTAAAAGAAGACAATTATTTACATGAAAACTCTAAATCAATCTACTGGAAAAAATTTTAGAACTACTAGGAGAATTTAGCAAAGTGGTTGAATATAAAACTAATGTACAGAAGTCATTGCATTTCTGTTCAACAGTAGCAAACAACTGAAAAATGTAAATAGAGAAAATACCATTTACAGTAGTGTCAGAGAACATCAAGTATCTCAAAAGAAATTTAACAATTAAAAAATTTAAACATTATTAGGAAAAAATCTAAATAAGGAAATGGAGAGATATAATTTTTTTTTTTTTTTATCCTCACCCAAGGACATTTTTCCATTTTTTGTACAGATAGAGTGGAAGGGAGAGAGAGGAAAAGAGAGAGAGAGAGAAACATCGACGTGAAAGGGACACATGGAGTGGCTGCCACCCGCATGACCAACCAGGGCCGGGGACAAACTGCAACCGAGGTACGTGCCCCTAGCGGGAACCGAACCCCTGTCTCTCTGGACCGCAGGCCGATGCTCTAACCACTGAGCCAAACTGGCCAGGGCTCATTTTCTTGAATATGAAGATAATATAAAAAACCTGTCAATTCTTTCCAGAATTGATCTATAAAGTCAACACAACTCAGGAACACAATAAAATAATTCTAAAATTCATATGAAACAGTAAAGGACCAAGAAAATACTCGATATTCCTGAAGATAACCAGTGAGAAGGAAAGCTGCCCTTCAAGGTATTAGGGCTTATTATGAAGCTATTATAATTAAGACAAGAAAGATGAGATACAGACCAATGGGACAGAAGAGAGAGGCAAAAACAGACCCATGCATCTTGGAAACCTTAGTACACAACAAAGACAGTCTGTGAGATCAGTAAAAAAAAAAAAAAAAAAGGGAGGGCTAACATATATGAAATGGAAAAGAACAAACTCAGATTCCCATTCGAACCACAAACAAAAATCAACGTCAAATAAATTAAGAACTTAAATGTCAGAAATCAAACTTTAAAGTCTCTTAGTGAAAAATAAAAGTGAACTTGGAATAAGAAAAGCTTTCTTAAACAAGATTTAGAAAGCATTATATAAAAAAAGATAATATTAAATTTAAAATATTGAATATATTAAAATTAAGAATATTGGTTCATGAAAGGCACCTTAAAGAGTAGAAAGAAAAATTACACACTGAAAGATATTCACAACACACACGTGTCCAGTGATAGATTCCATCAATCCCTCTCGCTTTCTCTATGTGTCTGCCACTGCACCCATCAAGGTGGAGGCTATTTACCGTGGAAGCTATTCTCTACCCTTGAATCCAGACTGACTTTATTATTTACTTTTTTGTAGGAAAAGCATCATTCTGGGATTTTCAAGCACAAGCCTTAAGAAAACTGACAGATTCTGTGTCCAAGGTAACCGAGTGGAGAGGACACATGGAAGAGCACTGAGACATGTGACATGTTAGTGAAACTTTCTTCGACCAGCTAGTCCAGCCCAGCCAGCAGCTGAATGCAATTGAGTTACCCCAGTTGACACCACATGGACCAGAAGAACCACTGAGCCTGGCCATTGTTGAACATCTTCCCATGCATCAAGAGGTCACTGGTTTGATTCCCTGTCAGGGCACATGCCCAGGTTGCAGGCTTGAACCCCAATAAGGGGAGTGCAAGAGGCAGCCCATTAATGTTACTCTCTCATCAATGTTTCTCTTTCTTCCTCTCTCTAAGAAATCAACAAAAACATGTTTGTAAAAAATAAGTAAAAATAATTGTTAACTATTATATAAAAGAAGAAGAATCACCCAGCTAGCTGATCCCAGTCAACCCACAGAACTACGAGAAAAAGAAATTATTTGCCATTGTCTTAAGCCACTAAATTGGGGGTGATTTGTTATACAAGAATCAATAACTGAACAATATAAAATCAAGAAAGAATTCTCATCAGAAATATATCCCACCCCAGCTGGGTGGCTTGGTTGCAGGTTCCATCCCTGGTTGGGGCACATACAGAAGGCAACTTATTGATGTTTCTC